CCTAAAGGCATTATACACTAGTTCCATGAAACGTATACTAGTTCCGAAACAACTTCTTAGAATCAGTTTAAAAAAATGTCAAAAAGTTAAAAATTCATAAACTTATTTTTATCGAAATTGAAATCGCATTCATATGTATGTATATTTCTGCATATAACTGATTTATAAGTAACTAGCTTGCTGCCCGCTACTTCGTTAACGATAAATTTTTGGCATTAATTAAATTTTGAAAACAACACTTGTTGAAGCGTATTTTTTTACACACTTTTATTGTTGAGTGCTTTGTAATACACTCGGCGAATGTTTGTAAGACATTGAATTTATTTACAAAATTTAAATCAGAAGTACTAAATATAAAAATCTTAAAACTAACTAGAACTATGATAAGACCTCATGCGACTTAATGTGCATTCAACCTTATCAAGTGAAAATTCTTATCACTGCGTGGGTATAGCACGCAAGTGATAAAAATAAATATCATAATGGCATGTGTGACAAGACAAGGGTTGATTTATCTTATCTTAGTATTGCACACATGCGCTATCGCACTAAATATAAAGAATCATAAATTTAAATAATATAAAATATTTTATAAAATAAAAAATATAAAAAACATGTTCAAGTGATTTGAACATTCTGCCGGGGGAAAAAGTAAAATATGAATTGTAAAATGCTTAATAATAACTTATTATTTTATCCACAAAAGAATCCTTGGTTTGCTTCCTTTTCCGGAACTTGTGACAAAAATACCCTGGCACACATGACCACAATCTGGCCGTCTTCTCTTCTCCAGGCTTATATATTTTTAGTTTTTCTTCTTGTTGTCTTTCTTCTCTATCATCGGAGTCTGCTGCGGCACCATCTATTCCTTTCTTCTCAACAGCTTCCAGGACAATACCAGTATCATTGTTTTCATGTTCACCTTCTAATTTTAAAGGACCATCTCTATCTTTATCCAAATTTGATTTTTCTTCTGCATCTTGATTGTCATCACCGCCATCTGCTGCTTTATCGATAGCTACACACGAATAACCATCGAATTTCTGACACACAACCTCTATTTTGGTATTGGTGTGATGTACTGCTCGCGTTTGTGGACCATCTTTGGCTTTGTCCAAAACAATAGTTTCTTGTTCTTCTTCTTTGGCCTTTTCTTTATCCAGCACAGCACCAGTTACCCATGTTAGGTCGACTGCTAAAGCCTCATCACATTTGATGAAGGGCTTTTCTTCCGCAAAGACACCTTCAGCACCATCTGCGGTATTACTTATTGCAAATTTCATTGATAGTGTTGTTCCTAGATCTAAATGACTGGATGGATTTGCATAGACCGCAGTAGTTTTAGTATTTTCAATACCAATTTGCAATTGGTTATTTTCAGTTTTATGTTCTTCATCTCCAAAAACGATATCTTTGAATCTTATTTCATCAACAATATTGGATTCATCATATGAGGATTCATTTTCGTATTGATCATACAATGTAAAATCAACCACATCCGTGTTTTCTTCTTCAAAGTTTTCTTCGTTTCTGGCTATTGCACCTTCTTCGGCTTCAAATGCAGCTCTAGTTTTATTTAAAGAATCATCCTTGGAACCATCTGAATGCTTCTTTACTTCCTCTGTGGTTCTTTTAGAAAAGTTAGGATCATAAATAGTAAACTCAACCACATCTGTATTTCCCTCTTCAAAATGTTCTTCATTTGTAGCTATGGTACTTTCTTCTTCGTCTTTCTGATGAGTTTTCTCCTCATCAGCTGAGTTTATAGATTGACATTTCAAAATGCTAGTTCTGAAATCTTTAAACATTTCATCGATTTTTTCATAAATAGTTGATTCTGCCATTCCAGCTGCTTTAAGCATTCTTCGCTTAACATTTTCTTGCTTTGTTTTTTGGTTTGATTTTAGAATTGGAATCTGTTTAGATTTCCAATGATTGTTTTTTGTTTTATGATTTGACCACTGTTGAAAGTTAATTTTGTTTGCGACCACTGTCTGAAGCCGTGGCCAACGCTTATGGATATTAACTTATTTTTATTAAGTTAGTTTTTTTTATATTTTTGGAATCTGTTATAGATTTCCAGGTTTTTGTTGATAATAAATTTTATTTCAAATTTATTTTTAAAATCTTGATTGGTTTCCGCACCAATACAAGATTTTAATTTTTAGTTTTATTTTGACCACTGTTGTAAGCAGTGATCAATGCTTATAAATATTAACTTCTTTTTTAGTTAATATTTATTTTATTTTTTTTTTTTAATTTTTCTTCTAACGGACAGTGATTTCTATACGTCACTGATCCGGCTCGAAGGACCAAATGTTGAAGCGTATTTTTTTACACACTTTTATTGTTGAGTGCTTTGTAATACACTCGGAGAATGTTTGTAAGACATTGAATTTATTTACAAAATTTAAATCTGAAGTACTAAATATAAAAATCTTAAAACTAACTAGAACTATGATAAGACCTCATGCGACTTAATGTGCATTCAACCTTATTAAGTGAAAATTCTTATCACGCAAGTGATAAAAATAAATATCATAAAGGCATGTGTGACAAGACAAGGGTTGATTTTTCTTATCTTAGTATTGCACACATGCGCTATCGCACAAAATATAAAGAATCATAAATTTAAATAATATAAAATATTTTATAAAATAAAAAATATAAAAAACATGTTCAAGTGATTTGAACAACACTTTAAACGATTTTTTAATTAATATGGGATATACATACATATGTAAATAATTTTCACATATGTAGGTTTTTAGCAAATTTTTTATTCTCAAAATATCATACAATTTATTAAACTTATTGTTATCACTTCATATCACCTTTTTAATCTAATTTAAATAAATTAATTTTCATCAACATCCGAGATTTTGGATTAACAGGACAGAGCTACGTGCAACTTTGTGGCTTTGCCTCCGTAAAAAATACATACCTAAAACTAAAACGGCCCTAACTAAAAAAATTCAAATTGACAGTTTTATTTTCTGATGTATTGCATCAAACCAAATGTTCAAAACAAATTTAGACTTCGCTGGTCAAAATTAGCGATTTTATTGACGAAAAACAAAGGGCCCTATCTTCAAAAGCAGTTTTATATAAAGGCTACAAAACGTAACTAATCATTTGTAAATACAAATTGTAAATTGTCAAAATAACTGAGAGATTTACAGTTGAAACTAAACTTTCCATTTTAAATAGTTTTTTGCTTCTTCTGTAGAATTTAAAAAAATGTTAAATAGGGATTTTTGCTTTTTATGTGACGATATATGTATAAAAACAAATTATATTGTTTCTATCATATAACTAACTAAATTGTTATTTTTGTATAGTGAAAGATTTCTATATTTGACTGTATTATTGAACAAAATATGTATATTGAAATTGAAATTTTTTGTGTAAAAATATTTGCTAGTTTTTTATTACTGAGACCACTTTTTTTGAGTACGGAGCCAAATAAATATACCTTGCCTCGGGAACCGTTTTTGGAAAATTTTATTAAAAACTTTAGTAATTAAATTGTGGACGTATTTTGACACCTACAAAATTTCGCTCTCATGGATAATATTGACTAAAAAAGGTAAATTTTTTAATAAATTTTTGGTCTAAACAAATTGTTTTTTTTAAGCTCTACTTAACAGCATAACAATAAATAATATTTAAATTAAAGATCCAAAATGTTTTTAATCACTACATTACATATAATTATTTTTATAGAAAATTCAAAATGTACCATTGAGTTCCTTATGGATTTTTACTTATAGATCTTTCGTTTTTTGTTTCTAGATTTAATGTAAAAGAAAATTTAAAGAGTACCATTGAGAAAAAAGTACTTTCATATAGGTTTTAATTCACGTAGGACCGTTTATTATATTGTAGAAATCTCAAAAAGAGATATTATAGAAAATTCAGAAAGTACCAGTTAAACAATAAAAAGTACCAAAGTACTTTCATACACATTTCCTTTCATTCAGAACCCTGCATGCTAAATTTGATGTTTCTAAGACCAATATTATCGATAATCCAAAAAGGACCTTTAATGTTTATTTAATATTTTTGGGAATAATTACTTTAGAAATCTCCAAAATTACCGGCTGAAGAACGAAAAAGTAAAAAATATTCCCTTTGTGCAGATTTCCATTCAACTGGAACCCTGTGTGTTTAATTTTATGCCTCTAAGTCCAATTATATAGAAAAATCAGAAAGTAGAGCGAAAAAGTACCAAAAGTCCCTTCTTATAGATTTCCATTCACTCCATATTTTATGTTTCTACGAAAACGAAACAAAAAAGAACCAAAAAACACTTATTTTTTAATTTATATTTCAATATTATAGAAAACTCAAAAAGTACCAGCTGAAGAACATTCATACAGATTTCCATGAACAGAACCCTGCGTGTTTAATTTTATGTTTCTGACCAATATTTTTGAAAGCTAAAAAAAAACACCTTTTGAAAAACTACAAAGTACCCAAAAAGTCCTCTTATATTATAGAAAACATAAAAGGTATTCGTTGAAGAACGAAAAAATACTAAAAGATCGTATTTAGATACTCACACACTGTGGACCCTTCATGTTCAATTTCATGTTTCTAGGTTCAACACTCTATCGTTCCATGTTGTATATTCTCATTAAACGTTTAGTTAATACCAGTAAAAGATCGAAAAAGTCACCAAAAGTCTCATATTATAAATTCTTAAAACTAATTTTAAAAAAGTGTTCAGTGTTTAACAATATCAATGAAATGAACAAACTTAAAAACGTAATGCAATGAAGTTTTGTTTAAAAAAAATCTTACTTAAATTATCTACCCTCTAACCATTTGGCAGTATTTGGTTTAAAATGTTAAAAAAAGATAACTATTTAACATGACGTTTAAGAGCATACATTCATCGTGTTGTATAGAACGGTTGAAAATCTATTATCTCATTGGAAGAGTTGTATATTTTGTCCTTATGCTTTGGTGTTGATTGTTTTGAAGGTTTCGAAGTTTTAGTTATAGCTGCATAGGTTGAGGGATCTAGTGGTATTTAAATCATCCGAATTTTCCGATTTAATAAAACGATCTAATAAGTTGATTCTTTTAGCTTGATTACTACTATTGCTGTTGGTGCTGCTGCTGGTGTTGGTGGTGACACTAGAAACATCATCCGCTAAATCGCTTTGAGTTATATTTAATGAATTATCTTTATTATAGCACGGATCAGGACTGTTATATTTATTATTACTTAAAATTGGCCAATTTTCCGCCTTATCAAAGATATTTTCCTCATTATCTGAAATTGGTTTCCAACGTGGTATATCTTCGGCAGTTTCAAAAGAATCAGTGCATGGTTTCTCACTGCTATTAGAACTATTCAAGGATAACAAAGCCGTGTCCCCCAGTAATGTATGATACTGCTGTAAACGTTGATCTTTAAGTTGAAGCGAATTTGATGTTTTGTTAGCCGAAGTAGTGGAAAAAGACTCACTATTATCTCGGGCAGTACTAAATGAATTTAAAGATGAAGTAGTGCTAACAAAAGATGTATTACAGCTAGTTTCCGCTACAGAAGCTAAAGAATCATTGTGATCATTTTTAAATTCGCTGGAAATACTATTATTGCAGCTATCAAAACCCGATGAGGTATCCGACACCTTTTCCTTTAATTTAAAAACATTATTATCAAAAAACAAAGCCACTTTTCTACGACCATTCTGCACTAGTTTGATTTTATTTTGCACTGGAAATGTTGCCATAGTTACTTTTTGATTTAGAGGTTGTTCAACACTTACACCCATGCCACAGTAACGCATCATACCAATTGTTTCCTGTTCAATTTTCTTATTATTTTCCCAATCATCAATAGTGGGTTGTTCACCCACCGGTTTGGTGCTAGCCATACGTTGTACTTGTTGTATTGCATGCAACTTTCCATTTATTTTCGTGGTGGCTTTCCACCTTTTTGTTGGCAGCATATTCTGTATGGTTTTTGGGTCTTGGATAACTACTGTGTTGAGGTTCGGAGAGGACCCCGTATATGAAGTCATGATGTGGTTGTAAATTTACCACCTCTTCTTCGAAGTCGGTTGTAGGTATCCAAGGCATTTAAGTTCTTTAAAAATTTGTTTATTTTGAGAGCCTGTAATAGAATGCTGTTAGTTTTTCTTTTATTTAGAAAAGCAACAAAACGAAACAGTTTTTTTAAGGATATCATCCAATTTGTTTTGTTTTTTGAATTATAACTGAAAATTTTTAAACTGAATCGTGGAAAATTTATTTTTTTAACCGTTTTTAATAAAATAACGAATGATTGCTTAGAACCGGTTCCAATGATGTGACTATTGTGAAAGAATAGTGTTGCCGCCACTGGCAAAAATTGCTAAAAATATTATTTTTTGATTGTGTAAACTACGTATTTGCTATGTAATCTTTTACAATTGCAAATGTAATTTTTTATATTTTCGGAGTTAATGGTTCCCGCGACAGTTATAACTCGATTTTATTTCAATATATTTAATTTGTACTTAGTTGGCTAGCGTGGTGATAAGTCTTCAGTGCGAAAGATTATTTTAAAATTATTAATTGTATTAACTCTAGTGGTTTCCATACCAAAAAGTGAGTTGTTAATTTGAAGTTAAAATTATGTTTATAAATTTCCTCATGATTTAATATGTATTTTTATAGGAATTTTAATATAAGAAACATTGGATTAATAAATTTGTGTTGAGATTTAAACCAGTGTCTCTTTATTCAAAATCCAGTGGAAATCTTTAGCGAGGCTGATTCCTCACCCCAACAAATAGTTTACGGAATTCTCGCCATAATTTACGATAGAAGCGATTGATTTTTTAGTACTGAAAAGACATTTTGGGTAAAAAATATTTTTTTTCCTCTTCTTTCTTTAGTGAAGAAGAAAATCAGAGAAAACCCCTTTACTCGAAACAGATTATCGATAAATCGAGTTAATAGTCGCTTTTTGATGAAAAGTCGTTTTTAAAGAAATTTAATTTTTAGCAAAGATAAGAATTTTTAGAGAATAATTAGAATTTTGTAGGAAAAGAATAATAAGAAATTGGACTATGACATTGTTTTACAACAATAACATTTTCTCTTTGACGAGTTCTGTGTGAATTCAACACTCTGGTGAAAGTTTGACTCTCTCACAAAACTTTTTCGCGAAAATATGAAAATAATTTCACTTCTTACACATTTTCTCACTCACACAACGCAGATTTGCAGATTTTTACACCTTTGAATAGGCTGAATAGTTTTATTTTTTGTAAACGAGAAATATATTTTTTTAATTTTTTGACAATTAATTTTTGAGGAATGTATACATTATTTACTCGGGGGAGTTTTCCAGATTTTTCCTACCGAGCGCGTCCCCGGGTGGCGGATAGGGGGTGGTGATGGACCATCTGTCCTCTCCCAGCTTTAATTTCACTTAAGCTGAGGGAGGGCAGATTGTCCACCACCTGGGAATATTATATTCCCCGCGGACCAAAAAACTGGAAAAAAAAAAATATGGAAAATAAAAATAAAAAGATAAAAGTTACGGTGCAGGGCCTAAATAACCCAGTACCGGCGGCAAGTGTTGATCTACTCGCGAGTCACGTGTCGTCGTCATCCTGCAATCGTGAGCAGAATACTACTACGGAGGTGGGTACCTTGGCCTCCGTGGCGGACAATGCGTCAAGTGTACAGCATGCCGCTGGCAAAAATATAGGGGTGAAAGAGAAGGATGTACTCGGAGAGAGCTCTAAGCTACCTCAGCCTTTAAATATAGGTGAGGGTTCCGACTCTGAATCCTCAGATGATAATAATAATAATACCATTATAGCAAATCCCAAAAAGGATGAAGTAGAGCAAATGGTGAAAGAGGTGAGTGATAGCATAGCTAAACTACCTATTACTAAGAAAAGACTTTCTGGAGCACAGAGGAGGAAGTTGAAAAAGATGCTTCAGGAAATCATAGTTAGTCAATCCCACGACACTCCAAAGGAATCGGACTCTCTCACAAGATCTGAGGCAAAAAGGATCAGGTCACCCGAGGAGTTGACAACTGAGAATAAGCCTAAGAAGAAAAAGAGCTCCCCGTCTTCTAATACACAGTCGAAGCCAAGCCATACTTCACTCAAAGGAATCTCAAGTGAGAATCCTGCGAGTAAGGGTGACAACGCCAAGCCAGATATTCCGAAGACGAACACGTCGGCGAAATCAACCTCGAAGGTAAGGGAATCTCAAAAGAAGCCCCGAAAAACGAGGAATGAGAAGCTAGACGGAGGAAAAGGTAAAGAGCCGCCATCTTACGCCAAAGTTGCCAGAAGTAGGCACCGGGACGATCTCTGCTATGCAGTTTACGATGCCGGTAATCCGACAGGCAAAATTCCAATAGACCAACAGAGTAAAATAGAAGACCTGGTCAACAATAAGATAGTGGACCATGCAATAGCTTCAAAGGGCAAACAACCAATAGAGAGCGAGAGCTGCGAGTTCAGCATGGGCGTGATGTTGATGAGGTTGGCATCTCACCAATGTGTTAGCACCCTAAAGAACTTGGTGGAAAGTATCCCTCCTCCCTGGGACGGCGCTAGGCTGGGACTGGCAAAGAAGAGCGAGCTTCCGGTGCTCCTAAAGTCCACTGTCTACATAAAAGGATGGGGCAGTAAACTGGCTAATGAACGTATACTGGAAATTCTTGGAGGTCAAAATGCTGAGCTGGCCGTGGAAAAATGGGATGTCTTTTACAGGAAAGAAGAACCTGAGGGAACTTTATTTGTAATAGGTATCGACCAGAAATCCATGGCTAGTCTTGCCAAGAATAAAGGTAGGGCTTACTTCGCCTCTAAATCTGTCATATTCAAAATTGGGAAGGTGCCGATTGGAAGGGCTGTTACAACAAGCCTCGATAAGGACACTAAAAAACCTAAGACCACAGTATCCACTACTGATAACGTTGAGGAGTCAAATCCTAAAATCGAGGAATTTACCATTAACTCGCCAGAAGAAAGTGTAGTTGCCCTTTCCAAAATTGGGAAGGCGCCGATTTAAAGGGCTGTCAAAACCGGCCCCGACAAGGACACTAAAACACCTAAGACAGTACCCAAAGCATCATTAGCAAGTACTAGCAATGTTGAGGAGTCAAATCCTAAAAGCGAGGAGGAAATCACTCACCCGCCAGAAGACAGAACAGCAATGCTCTCCAGAATTGGGAATGTGTCTATTAAAAATACTGCTATTCCTATGCCTGATAAGGACACCGCAGTGCCATCAACAGTACTCACTGCATTAATAGCCACTTCAGGCTATCCGGAGGAGTCAAATCCAAAGAGCGAGGAGGTGACCACCAACTCGCTGGAAGACAGTTTAATGGATGACCATGATTGAGGTTATCCAAATAAACCTCCATCGGAGCGAGACAGCTACCAACGCTCTGATGGCTAAAATCAACACAGGTAAAATACATATAGCTTTAATCCAGGAACCTTGGACGATTCGCAACAAGGTTTCTGGATTAAATCACGTAAATTTCCAACTTTTCTACGCTGATACAGGATCTCGCCCGAGAACATGTATCTTATGTCACAAGAACTTATGTTTTCTCCTCTCAACAGGATTATCAACATCGGATGCAACGGTGCTGAAGCAAGGTCGAGGCAACATATACCTTGCATCTATTTACCTGCCTTTCGATTCTCCGACCCTACCACCAACGTCGGATCTGATGAAACTGGTTGAAGAGGCACAAAGGAAAAATAAGAAAATTGTAATAGGTTGTGATGCCAACTCGCATCATGTAGCTTGGGGTAGTACAAACACCAATCGCAGGGGACAAGCCCTCATGGATTTCTTTAATACTAAAGACTTGATAACATTGAACTTAGGTAATAAAGCTACCTTCGTCAATAGAATCAGAGAAGAAGTATTAGATATAACTATATGTTCAGAAGAGCTTATAAACGAAATTCAGGATTGGAGAGTTTCGGACGAGCACTCCTTTTCTGATCATCGGTACATAAGATTCAAAATACTAAGGCCACCACCAAAGCCGATAAAGTTTCGGAATAAGTCTAAAACTAATTGGACAATGTTCGGGGCCTTACTAAAGAACCGTTTAGGTCAGGACACTTTTCAGTGTCGAAATAAAGAGGATATAGATGCCAAAGTGGAAACGTTCACAAGTGCCCTGGTTGAATCGTTCGAGGACAGCTGCCCTCTGCGAGAGCGGAGATCTGCCCAGGAAAAACCCTGGGTAACTGGGGAGATCCGGAACCTTGGGAAGACTCTTCGCAAACTATTTAACCGGGCACGGCGTAAAAAGACCGCAGTATACTGGGATGAGTATCGTAATAAACTTGGTGAATATAAGAAAATCGTTCGAAGAGCCAAACGAGACTCCTGGAAACTTTTCTGTGAACAGGTAGATAGCGTAAATGACGTATCGAAGATAAAAAATTCCTATCCAAAACTCATGTCCAACCGGAATCTATGATCGATGACACGGGCAGGAGGCTTGAGGATATGGAGGAGACAATGAAACTCCTAATGGATTCTCATTTCCCACCCGGTATATCGAATAACATAGATGAACCGATATTGGAGGAAGGGGAGGGTAACACGGAAATAGTTATTACAACTGACATGGTTAAAGGGGCAATCAAGAGCTTTGCTCCCTATAAAGCTGCAGGGCCGGATGGAATTTTCCCGGCACTTTTGCAGATGGAGGCGGGACTGGTTTCCGTACATCTGTCACAGATATTCACTGCATGCTTAAAATTGGCATATACCCCAGTTAAATGGCAGGATGCAAGGGTAATATTTATACCCAAACCAGGGAAACCTAGCTATGCGACACCTAAGTCCTATCGACCGATAAGTCTTACGTCCTTCCTACTTAAAACCTTGGAACGGATAGTCGATAGCATGGTTAAAAGCAGCATACCATACAATGACCTTAAATATAAGCAGCATGCTTATGTAAAGGGACGATCGGTGGAAACCGCTTTAAATGAAGTTGTCCACTACATAAGTGAATCTTTCGATAGCAAACTGTATACACTGGCAGTATGCATTGACATCGAAGGCGCTTTCAATAACGTGCACACTGATACCCTTATCCAATCCCTAGACCAGTTTTATGTTGACCGGGTGCTCCGTAACTGGATCAACTACATGCTAAGGAACAGATGGATAAGCTGCGAGATGTACGATATAACTATCAGGAAAAAGGTATTTCGCGGTATACCACAGGGTGGCATTTTGTCACCTTTACTCTGGGTCACCACGATTAATAGCCTCCTAAGGACCCTAACCGAGAAAGGACTTAGACCTGTCTGCTATGCAGACGATGTCGTAATACTTTTAAAGGGAAAGGATCCAAATTACTTGTGTAGAAGAGCTGAGGAGGCTCTGAATACGGCCTTGAGCTGGGCTCAACCGAGAGGCCTCAATGTTAACCCGGCGAAGACGGAAATCTGTCTTTTCACAAGAAAGACAAAAATTTCTACATATACTGAACCTTGCTTCTTGGGCAAGAAGATACCGGTGACAGACAAAGTTAAGTACTTAGGTGTAATACTTGACCGGAAATTAAAATGGAGACACCACATAGAGGATAGGATCAACAAGGCACATCGGTGCTGGGCGATATGTAGGAGAACCATAGGCATGAAATGGGGTCTTAGTCCTACTATGACAAATTGGCTTTATAAAAGTGTAATTAGACCAATTCTAGCTTATGCTTCAATAATCTGGTGGACTGCTTTGGAAAAAAAGTGTAATATCAAACTACTACAGGGAGTTCAGCGTACATGCTGCTTGGGTATAAGTGGTGCCATGTGTACTACTTCAACCAAGGCTCTGGAAACGTTGCTAGATATTCCACCCATTGAAACATATATAAGATATGAGGCGGCGCTTACAGCCGAACGGCTCTTTACTTTAGGCGAACTGGCCAAAAACGGTTATAGGACACGTCATCAATGTATACTGGACACATTGGAAGGTTATACACATTCATCGGACGTGCCTGATCGCATACCAGACACTGAATATGTCGGAAACTTTGAAACGCTAATCCCAGATAGAATGTCTTGGTCAAGCGGAACATTAGAGCAAATACCAGTAGGAATCCGTTGCTACACGGATGGCTCTAAATTAGGGGACAAAGTGGGTCTGGGGTTCTATATTGAAGACCCAGAAACAGAAATATACCACCGTTTACCTAATCATAACACAAGCTTCCAGGCAGAAGTACGAGCAATAACGGAATGTGTAAATTGGATTAGAATAAATATGGCGCCCACAGGGCTTAATATATTTACCGACAGCCAGAAGGCAATTTGTGCGATATCAGGTGATAGAATTAAATCTAAGACCGTATTGGATTGTAAGAAAGCTTTAACTGAATACTCTCCCAGAGGTAAGGTTCACATCATATGGGTACCAGGCCACTCGGGAGTAGTCGGCAACGAAAGGGCGAATGTAATAGCTTTAAAGGGAAGGGAGCTCGATGTAGTTAACCTGACAAACGCAAAACCATTCGACGCAACAAAAGCTGAATTAAAAATATGGATGAGAGAATCCCATAAGGCCTCTTGGAATAATGAAACGGTGGGTAGAACCACAAAGATTCTATGGGGTGACCCTGATGAGAGCAAGACGAGAAATCTTCTCAAAATGAGCAAGTCTGAGGTTAGTATGATGGTACGTATTCTCAGTGGACACACAGGATTACGAGCACATCTATACAAAATTGGACGTGCGAATTCAGACGAATGTAGAGCATGTGGAGAGGACAGTGAAACTCTGGAGCACTTTCTTTGCCATTGTCAGGCATTCGTCGAAGTTAGATCCAAGTATCTTGGAAGTGATGTTATTCCAGAAATAACATTCTTAACCAACACCGATTGGAAGATTCTTAGGAATTACGTCCAGGAAACTGAGTTTCTGAACATGGAAAAATAATACATTCAGTGAACATTTTTTTTTTTTTTTTTTTTTTTTTTTTTTTTTTCTTGAATTGGAGCGCACAACAGGCCCGATAGTGGCCTAGGTGTATTTCTTCTGATTTGATGTAGTATACATCCTCCTATCAACCTACCTACCTACCTACCATACATTATTTAAAAATAAAACTAAAAAAAAAAACGAAGTTGTAAATTTGAGTATTGAAAATGAGAAATAAATTTAAAATAAACATAATATTTTGCAAAAAAGCTAATAAAAAAATTTTAAAATGTATTTATTAATTTTTACAGATCAAATGTGCAATAAAAACATTGAAAAATCTGTGAAAGTATAAATTTAAATGTTTTATATTTTTCCTAAAATTTTTAAGTACGTTTTTATGCAACTATGTAGGTTTGGAAACAGTGGTGAAAGTGGTTGAAGATCCTTATACAAAAATTCTACCAATACATTCTTAGAGTTAAGTACCGAATGACAACTCCTTTTAGTGAAAAATTACAATTTTTAGTAAAAATATGGATTTTTTAGTGGAAATTTAAATTTTTGATGAAAATTTAGGGGGTTATTTAGTATTATTTTCATATAAATTATTTTTGTATTTTGACAAATTTTTTATGAAAATATTTTAAACGCTAGGTGAAGTGTTAAATTTAATTTTTGTAAAAAATTTAAATTTATAGTGAAAATTTTAATTTTTAGTGAAAATTGTAGTTATTGTGAAAAATTTAAATTTTAAGTGAAGATTTTCAGTAAAAAAAATTTTTGGCCAGTTTTTAGCGTAAAATTACTTTTTTTAATATCTTTTAGTGGAAAACTGATTTTGGGATGAAATTTGTTGAGCCATGTCCGTCCGTTGTTGTTGTTGTTATAACAGCTAAAACTATATAACAATTCAATGAGGGGGTTGTCTGAACAGTTGAATATTAGGTGAGTATCGTGGCGACCCAGTCCACATGCTGGGCATTCATTAGGTACGGCACGGTCTATGCGGGACCAGTAGGCATTAAGCCTGTTGCCACATCCCGATCTAAGTAGTGCCAGAACTACTCTGGTCTGCTATAGACGGTAGAGGTCCTCCATGAACGACATTCATACGGTATCCTGCGACCACGGTATTGATGGCGTCTCTATGAATGTCGTTCAAAGCTGACGTATACGAGAATCGATCCTGCACATAACTACTTATGTTTTCCTCGTATACACGAAGGACCTTCCTGACATGCTCCGGAGGAGCAGCCAGCTGTGTGATGTTAAAGTTGGTATAACTCCTCAGGTGATATCCTAGGAGGAATTGTTTAGTCAACTTGACTTGGAAAACCTTCGTTTTCTCATGTAGGCGAAGTTCTGAGGTAATTTGCGAACAGTCCAGTCAGTTACAGTCCTTAGGACAGCATTGACCAGAATCGAGCAGCATAATTAACCACTGACCGGCTTCCAACTGTGTGATGTTATAGTTGGATGACTCCTCTGGTGATATCCTAGGAGAAATTGTTTAGTCAACAGGACATTGTGTTTCTTGACTCGGAAAACCTTCGTTTTCTCATGTAGGCGATGTTCTGAGGTAATTTGGGAACAGTCCGTTACAGTCCTTAGGACAGCATTGACCACAATGGAGCAGCATAATTAACCACTGGCCGATCGTTATAGATGTAGCCAAAAAGGTTTCTTTAACCATGCACCAAGTGTTGCCGACTAGCAACAAGTATGTCCGATTGTCTGTTGAAAACACGATAAGGTCCCAATGGGAGAAGCTTAAAGGGCTGACATTTTCCACAAATAATCTCTATTGATAAGGTTTGTTTCGAATTGAAAATGGACAATATTAGGCAGGAATTTTATCCACTGAAGTGTATCGAACACAAGATAGCTTTTCTGCATATACAAATTTTTCTGTCTCAAGTCTTTATAGCAAATACATGCATGACCATAACCTCAAATTGTGATTACAAAACATGATCTTGCTTTCATTATACATATTTGAGGTTATGAGAAGTTTTATTAATATGTACATATATCAATTTGAAGACCTAATACTAGAGCAGCAGTTTACGTTTTCTTATAGCAATTCTGAGTTTGCGGGAGAGTTAGATAAAGGGAATAACAAGGGATACATAAACTTGCTCGTATTCCGAAATTCCATTTTTTTTCTCATTCGTACAAAAAGAAATCAATGACAAGCATTGAACTCATAGTTTTTATATGGAATTTAGGTCGAAGAATTGACCTTGCTATTAAAAAATAATCAAGTTCTGCACTTGACACCAAGCAATATATTTGATAAGTTCTTGGAGTCATTGCCTAGTTGAAATCTACATTATGGAAGCATAACTGTTTTCATCTATTGTTTAATAAGGCATCATACCATGAGATATCCTACTTCGTTTCATTTGGTTCTTTTCGGGTCCTTTCCGCATCATTACCAAACGAACTGATTTTATTTTCGATCCTCAAAAGAACTTTTTTTCAGCAAGAGGAAATTATTCTAAGACTAACTTTATATTACATGTTTTAAGGTAGGTATTTATTTATTGACGTTCATTATTATCCAATAAAGTGTTCTTTAATTGGTATCAAAAAATGAAAGGTTATAAAGTTTGCGAACAACAATTCGTCTCGTCCTGTTAATTGTAAAAGTAATTCTAGACTAAACATGGGTAAAGACCTAAAAAATTCTAGACATGTGTCTATATAAAACTTAATTTCTTTACAAATAAAAGCGAACGATCGATACCGTATTAAAATAAACAAACTCTTCATTATAAAGAGAATATTTTTTTTTTTAACTACGACTTATAGTTTCGTTTTGTTGTCTTCGCAAATTATATAAAATTTTAGTTTTTTTACAAAATAACTGTAAAACTTACGGTACTTGTTTGATTCTGTCTTGAAATTGTATTTGTGTTTTCTTGTTGCCACAAAATTTAACACTGTTTTAATTTTTTTAAATAAAAAATTGCTTAGGTTTGCACTTACATTTGTTTTCACAAAAAGTTGACCTGCTTTAAAATGTTTAATAACAAAATTAAGATTAGTTTAATTTGTATTTGTAATAAACTTTATAAATTTAACATTTTACAGCTTGATTACAATTGGAACCACAACCGCTTTCGACAATGAGTTTTTATACATTTTGTATGGAGAGCAAAATATCGTCTTGTGGTTGGCTACATTGTGGTTGAGATAGATTCTATTCTATTTTTATTGCGCTCTCTGGCGATCCTCTCATTGATTCTCTTATTCAAGGTGAATTCAGATAAGATGGTGACCAAGATATATTAATTATAAGGTAGTGTTATCAGAACAGCTGATCCTTTTTTGCTATTATGTTCATTTTTTACCGTGGTGTATAATTAATGTCAAACTTTGTTTACATTTTGTAAATGTCAAACTTTTTTTTTCATTTTGTTAATGTCAGACTGGATTCATTTTGTGTTTTTAATCTTTAAAATTTTAAACATAAAAATAAATTATAAATACATTCAAATTTATAAACATTTTTTGTTTAATATAAATTCGCTTTGATTTATTTGTCAGCTGTTTTTGAAAATTTTCCCTTACAGTCAATTCGCCTTCAAGTGCAGGCCCAATGTCAAACTACATATAAAAAAATATAACCAATTCGCTTGGTATTCTGAATTCGCCGATGACACTACCTTATAAAATTAATATACCTTGGTGGTGACAGTTCGGCAACAACAAAATTTTCCATGTAATTTGTTTTTGCATTTGGTACGCACTGATGTCAAAAACAATAATTGCGGCGAATTCATTTAATGAAAATATTTTGAGGAATTTTTATATTTAAAAAAAATACATATAAAAATATTAAAATTTGTGAATATACCCTGAATGGAATAATGTTTGTTCCAAATGAAAAAATCTACTCCGGCAGATTAATTTGCAAAACGTAAGTTTGTGCCTAAAATTATGTAAAATTTATATTTTTGTGAAAAATAAACATAAAAATGTAAAAATTTATGGAAAAAATATATACTGAATGAAAGAATCTTTGTTGTAAATGGAAAATTTTACTCCGGCGGAGTAATTTTTAAGATTTACACGTTGTAGTCAGCTGCCGCCGGACGGGTAATTACCTCATATGGGTTTTGTTATAAAAAGCGTTCCGGAACAGAATTTTGTTAGTTATTCACATTATATATACGGTGTAAATATAAAACAATTTATTAAATTTTTTTTAGATCTCAAAATTTGACCATAACGTAAAAGACAGCTGCCGCCGGTCGGGTAAATACTTCATGTGGGTTTTTTATATAAAGTGTTCCGGAACAGATTTTTTTTAGTTAATCGCTTTATCTACAAAGTGTAAATATAAATTATAAAACAATACTGTTTAATTTGTTAACATTTAATAGAAAAAATATTATTGTTATATTAAGTTGGTACATGCGTACCAATTATTCATTATTTATATAAGAAAAATATTTATTTACAAAATGCTTGGTATTTTCAGATTTTTTACATAAATTATTCAAAATACTAACTAAGTTTTTCTCCGTTTTAACGGAAATTTTTAAATATAACAAGTCAGAGTGCCATATTCGGCTGAGCCGAATCTTACATACCCTCCACCAGCTACTTTTATATTAATACTTTTCTAATTGATCAAATATTTGTAGAAATAAGTTTTCTCATGTCTTAAATAGAAAAAATCCCAAGATTTATTTAATTTTGTAATAAGTTATGAGTATTTATGTGATTTTCTGAAGGGAAACATGTATAGGACCGACCGCACCCATCTTATGAACCGATCGTGAAAAAATCTTGAAATATAATTTTTGTATACAAAACTAATATTTCTATATGTGAGAGCAATACTTGTATCAAACTTTATATGGATATTTTAATTTAGTAATGAGTTATGTGTGTTTAAGTGATTTTCGGGATTGGACCTTGTACGGAGCTATGACCAATTATGGACCGATCGGAAAAAAAATTTGATAGTAATTTTTATATATGTGAGAGCAAAACATGTACCAAATTTTATATGGATATTTTAATTTAGTAATGAGTTATGTGTGTTTAAGTGATTTTCGGGATTGGGCCTTGTATGGGAGCTATGACCAATTATGGACCGATCGGAAAAAAAATTCATAGTAATATTTCTGTGCATATGAGCAATACTTGTACCAAACTTTATACGGATATTTTAATTTAGTAATGAGTTATGTGTGTTTAAGTGATTTTCGGGAGGGGACCTCGTATGGGAGCTATGACCAATTATGGACCGATCGGAAAAAAATTTCGTAGTAATATTTCTGTATATATGAGCAATACTTGTACCAAATTTTATATGGATATCTTGATTTAGTAATGAGTTATGTGCGTTTAAGTGATATTCGGGATGGAACCTTATATGGGAGCTATGACCAATTATGGACCGATCGGAAAAAAATTTCATAGTAATATTTCTGTGCAAATGAGCAATACTTATTCCAAATTTTATATGAATATCTTGATTAAGTAATGAGTTATGTGCGTTTAAGTGATATTCGGGAGGGAACCTTATATGGGAGCTATGACCAATTATGGACCGATCGGAAAAAATTTCATAGTAATATTTTTGTGCATATGAGTAATACTTATTCCAAATTTTATATGGATATCTTATTTTAGCAATGAGTTATGCGCGTTTAAGTGATTTTCGGGGAGGGTCCTTGTATGGGAGCTATGACCAATTATGGACCGATCGGAAAAAAAATTCATAGTAATATTTCTGTGCATATGAGCAATACTTGTACCAAACTTTATACGGATATTTCAATTTAGTAATGAGTTATGTGTGTTTAAGTGATTTTCGGGAGGGGACCTCGTATGGGAGCTATGACCAATTATGGACCGATCGGAAAAAAATTTCGTAGTAATATTTCAGTATATATGAGCAATACTTGTACCAAATTTTATATGGATATCTTGATTTAGTAATGAGTTATGTGCGTTTAAGTGATATTCGGGAGGGAACCTTATATGGGAGCTATGACCAATTATGGACCGATCGGAAAAAAATTTCATAGTAATATTTCTGTGCAAATGAGCAATACTTATTCCAAATTTTATATGAATATCTTGATTAAGTAATGAGTTATGTGCGTTTAAGTGATATTCGGGAGGGAACCTTATATGGGAGCTATGACCAATTATGGACCGATCGGAAAAAAATTTCATAGTAATATTTCTGTGCAAATGAGCAATACTTATTCCAAATTTTATATGAATATCTTGATTAAGTAATGAGTTATGTGCGTTTAAGTGATATTCGGGAGGGAACCTTATATGGGAGCTATGACCAATTATGGATCGATCGGAAAAAAATTTCATAGTAATATTTCTGTGCATATGAGTAATACTTATTCCAAATTTTATATGGATATCTTATTTTAGCAATGAGTTATGCACGTTTAAGTGATTTTCGGGGAGGGTCCTTGTATGGGAGCTATGACCAATTATGGACCGATCGGAAAAAAATTTCATAGTAATATTTCTGTGCATATCAGCAATACTTATTCCAAATTTTATATGAATATCTTAATTTAGTAATGAGTTATGCACGTTTAAGTGATTTTCGGGAAGGGTCCTTGTATGGGAGCTATGACCAATTATGGACCGATCGGAAAAAACTTCACAGTAATATTTCTGTGCATATGAGCAATACTTTTTCCAAATTTTATATGGATATCTTAATTTAGTAATGAGTTATGCGCGTTTAAGTGATTTTCGGGAGGGGACCTTGTATGGGAGCTATGTCCAATTATGGACCGATCCAGAAATTTTTTCTG